GTACATATACACGTATATATATGTGTGTGTGTATATATATGTATATATATACACACACACACACACACACACACACAATGGAGTATTACTCAGCAATCAAAAAGAATGAAATCTTGCCATTTGCAACTACATGGATGGAACTAGAGGGTATTATGCTAAGCAAAATTAGTCAGAGAAAGACAAATAGCATATGACTTCACTCATATGAGGGCTTTAAGAGACAAAACAGATGAACATAAGGGAAGGGAAACAAAAATAATACAAAAACAGGGGAGACAAAACAGAAGAGACTCATAAATATGGAGAACAAACAAACAAACAAACTGAGGGTTACTGGAGGGGTTATGGGAGGGGGGATGGGCTAAACGGGTAAGGGGAATTAAGGAATCTACTCCTGAAATCATTGTTGCACCATATGCTAACTTGGATGTAAATTAAAAAGTAAATAAATTATTAATTAAAAAAATGGTTACTGTATTCATAGAAACATGTGACAGAAGATCCTTCTAAATATAGGTCTCCAGGTCTTTTAAAAGAGCTGCATCATTTACATTTGTTTCTTTTTTACTAACACGTTAACTATATAAAGAGAACATTTCAAACATTTAATTGGCTCACCTTTTGTACATAGTCCAGTGCTCTTTCAATGTGACATGATTATCAATAATTTCATCCAAGGTAAGCAAAACTGTTAGCAGCTCTCCCAAGTGCTCATACATAGTCTGTCAAAAAACCTTTAATGATTACCATTTAATCACTAGTTAGAAGTTAAGCTTCCTATGGATTTTTAAAGTTAAACACACTGGGCGAATTACTAAATTAAAGCAGTGGGTAAATCAGTTTATTAACGTACAGATGAAACTATTAATCCTCAGATGGAACAGTAAACCTTAGAGAAATGCTTTGCCCACTATTTCATCCTTAACTGGGATATTGCAGAATTATTTCACTCTCCAAAGAGACCACTTAGAGAATTTGCATTGGGCCACTACTGGGAAAAACTAAGAATTATACTGCTAGTGGGTCAATAATGCCTCATCAACTTCACAAATTAAAAAGCAAAAAAAAATTTTTTTTCTGAAGAGTCTTGCTATAATTGTTGTACTCCCCCATCACACAAACTCCACAGTAAAATATAGAAAAATTACAGTTTTACAGATCAAGTTAAATGACTTTTACCTGAAAATGAACTCCAGTTGTCTCTATAATTTTGGGTGCAATCCTGTAATAAAATAGCATCCAATTAAAAAAAAAAACTTTTTTGTTTTTAAGAAAAACACATAGAAGCTCTTGGACTTTTAACATGTATTTAGCTTTATTTCAGCTATAGTCACTATAACTTATGGGGCCACACTCCACTTTTCTAAGAAGAGAACGAACATGTATACAGAGTCAGGGTTATCCTTGTCTATACCTAAACTCAACGGGTAGGGAAATGACCATATGTGACCCATGAATAACCCTAGCCTTTAAACCTGAAGGATCAAGTTTGGGATGGAGGTGGAGAAATAGTGAAACTGATATTCATTTCTTTCTAAACTATTAGAATTTTTCAATTCCCAACCAGAATCTTCGTTATCTTCCAAACTGGCATTTGGAAACTAGTCAGGTTTATTTCTGAGTTCTCATTCCTACTGAAAAACAATGCATACAAACAACATGCCAAAGCCAAAAGCCCCAGGATAATTCAAATTTTACTTCCTAGACATCTCCTACTCAACAGTAAATAATTTAAGACAGTATTTATACATCAAAGCACATATAGATATTCCACAGGATAGAATATTTTAAAAATTAAATACAGACTACAAATAAATTTCATCTCTTTTGGACAGGGGCATGGTGGTGGGGAGTTCTCTTTGAATTACACATCAGATACTGCAGATGTGTAGTCATGCTCTCATGCTCTCATTCCCCCCTGCCCTGAGGACAGCTTCAGTGAAAGAACAGAACATAAACACCTAACTGCAGAGAAAAACATGAGAATGAGAAACAGTTAACACAGTCTTCCAGTTCATAGCAACAGTTAAGATGCATTCTGGTATACTAAGAACAACAATGAATGGACCTGGTGATCAAAAGAACAGCATCTAAATTGCTATGGAATCTTATAGAATTTCTCTGGGTCTCAGTTACTTCTCATAATTGAGAACCCTTTGTCATATACCTAAACAAAGTTCCTGTAAGATTATAATTAAATAGCAAATGGGAAAGTTTTTAAGTATAAAGAATTAATCAAATGTGAGATATTACTCTGTAGTACTAAGAACAGTAAGGGCTCTATGAAAATTTGATTATTCTTCTTGATTTAGAACAGTGGTTCTCAAACTTGCAAGATCAACTGAGTAAAACCAAAATCTTTTTCAGTGTAGATTCCCTGGCACCACTCCGCCAGATTCTGCAGTTGTAGAAACGTCCCATGTGATTCTAATAAGCCAGGAAACAATGTAAAGGAGAAATAATGGGAGAGAATTTGGTACGAGTTCTAATTCCATATTAGCCTTTTCTATATAATCAAATTTAAGTTTATTCTGTCAACATTCTTATTCAGAGAGATAACATCATTTACCATGGTAGAAATTCTTATTAACCTATGTATTATACACATCAAGTACTGTTCGAAACATCATGCATCTTCAAAAGATGCTGAATAAATGAATGAGAGAATAAGTAAACAAATGAAAAATTATTTCGGGTAACTGGCTAGTTTTAGAAAAACATTCCCTGCATCTCTATTATAAATGCACAAATATTTACAAAATCCATTACTTGTTACTGATATAGAGGGCAGCCAACTGATGGACTACATTCATCACCACTTCATAGCACCTCGTCACAAAACAAGATAGTTCCTGAAATGACAAGTTGAGTATATGTTACATAGTTGCTTTTTAAATGTCACCATTTCTCTATTTTATGGTAACAATGGTAAACAAAAACAAAACAGTTTTCCAGTAAAATTTCCAGTTAACCTGCAGACAGACAATTCCAAACATCCTTCAAGTAAGCAGTCCTTAACCCTTCTCCTGCCTCCCAAAGTCATTTCTACTGCTTTGCCCCCACAGCATTTCATTCATACTTTTATTCTAAATATTATACTTTAGTTACTCATGTAATTCTTAAATGACAGAGACTATCTTATTCCTTAAGTATCCACTGTCCAGCATGGTGACTCTCATGTGCTTCTCAATAAAGTTCTGTCCCGTGAAGTGAATAAAAAAATGAACACCTGAACGAAGAAGCTCAAGAGCTGGCAATTTAGGAAGTAGGACAATGAGGGAAAGGCTCTCCAGAAGTCACTCTGAAATAACTTCAAATGCTTATGACCCTTAACCTCACCTATAAACAGATTTGGTACACAGAAAGGGAAATACTACTGACTGCAGGCATGTGTTTGTCATGAAAAAATTAATTTGCATCTACCACGTCCCATACCTTCTGAAAATTTCTTTTCAGAAGCTCTCGACGCTTAAACCTAAAAAAACAACTGGTATGCAAAAGTATTTAAAGCCTGATTAAATCTGTGGCTAAATTTTAAGTTCTACAAGGGCAGGAATTTCTGTTGGTTTTGTGCAATGCTGTATCCCCAGCACCAAGAAGAGTTCCTAACATATGCTAGGGCTTATGAAACACTTGTTGAAGGTTTAAAATTTTAATTTTATGCAGCTGTCAATGAGATCCAAAAACAATTTTAAATGTTTGAAAACAAAAATAAATAATGCATTTCAATTTTACTTAAATAGCTCTAGTTTTAGGGGCGCCTATGTGGCTCAGTTAAGCGTCCAACATTGGCTCAGGTCATGATCTCATGGTTCATGAGTTCGAGCCACGCGTCGGTCTCTGTGCTGACAGCTCAGAGCCTGGAGCCTGCTTCACATTCTGTGTCTCCCTCTCTGCCCCTCCCCCACTTGCACTCTGTATCTCTCTCTCTCTCTCTCTCAAAAATAAACATTAAAAAAAAATTTTTTTTAAATAGCTCTAGCTTTACCTTTCTTATTAAACTTCTAAAAGTTCAATAAAAGCAAAGAACATAAAATTCAGACAAATAGCACAAAATAAAAAAGGAAGAAACAAGTCTATTTAAATAATAGACTATTTAAATAAAATAGAATTAGCCAATTAAAAGACAGAGATCTTCAGATTTTCAGATCATGTAATAAAGCAAAATCCAGATACATGTGACTTTAAAGAATCACAACTTAAACATAACGATACTGAAAGGCTGAGAGAATATAAAAAAATAAATCAAGAAAATGTTAACTAAAACAGAGCTGGGACAGTGATAATATCAGACAAAATAGAGTTTGTTAGTATATCAGAGCTATAGTTTATAACACATACTTATACAATCATATATTACATATGTAATTATTATAGTTAACCAGGGTTACTACATAACAGATTCAACTTACAAAGAATGATTAACAATTTTAAACTTGTATGCACCATACAGAATATCCTGAAAATAACAAATGTGAAATTTGATAAAACTAGACAGAGAAACTGACACATTCACTGGGGACCCTGCAAATTACATTTCTTAGACTCCTGCCAGCAGGTTTCCCATTAGGTTCTGTCAACAGGTGGCACTAAAAGGACACTAGAGGGCAGGAAAAGGACATTCTTTCTATTTCTTGCTTTTTCTTTTTTTAAGTTATTTATTTTGAAAGAGAGCATGAGAGAGAATCCCAAGTAGGCTCCATGCTGAGCCCAACGAGAGACTCAATCTCACCACAATGAGATCGTGACCTGAGCCAAAATCAAGAGCTGGATGCTTAACCAACTGAGCCATCCAGGCGCCCCTACTTCTTGCTGATTTTATCAATAAAACCCAGACAAGAGCAGTCCACCCCATCAACAGCAGTTTGCTCCAGCCTTCAGCTTCTTTCAGCACTACAGAACCAACCCCATGTTGCTGTCTCAGAGGTACCAGCCCACCAGGCAGCGCTGGTTCCTTCATAGATATGAGCACTAACTCCACAGGGCTCCTGCTCCAAACTCCCAGATTCTGGCAGCCCCAACCCTTTCCCTTTTTTCCCTTGATGCAGAGGTGGTATCTGCTTTCTCTGGATGACCTATCTTCTTTTCACTTTTTTAAATGCACTTTCAAGTTACTCAACATACAGGGTAGTGCTGGCTTCAGGAGTAGAACCCATCATCTCTTACATATGACACCCTGTGCTCATTCCAACAAGTGCCCTCCTTAATGCCCATCACCCACTTAACTCCTCACCCCCAGCAACCCTCGGTATGTTCTCCGTATTTAAGAGTCCCTTATGGTTTGCCTCCCTCTGTTTTTATCTTATTTTTCTTTCCCTTCCTCTATGTTCATCTGTTGTGTTTCTTAAATTCCACATGAGTGAAATCATATATCTGTCCTTCTTATTTTGCTTAGCATAATACACTCTAGTTCCATCCACATTGCTACAAATGGCAAGATGTCATTCTTTCTCACCTTTTCTTTCAGCCCTCTTTTATTTATTTTTAATGTTTATTATTTTTGAGAGAGACAGAGACAGAGAGCAAGCAGGGGAGGGGCAGAGAGAGAGGGAGACACAGAATCCGAAGCAGGCTCCAGGCTCTGAGCTGTCAGCACAGAGCCCAATGCGGGGCTCGAACTCACAAACCACGAGATCATGACCTGAGCCGAAGTCAGACGCTCAACTGACTGAGACACCCAAGCACCCCAAAGTTTAAATTATTTTAAAAGGCATGGTGACAAATTGTCCACAAATGAAAATATGAAAGGAAGAAAGAAAGAAACAAACTTACTTTGATACCTGATTTCTATAAAATGCTATGAAAATCTTTCAGGAATTATGACCTCTTAACTATAATTCAATGCCAACTAAGTGTCTTACTCTCACAGTACACGTTCTTAGCATTTGAACTCTTTTTTGAGTGTAATCTACCCAAACTTTAAGAAAAAAAGAAAAAAACAGCAAAAAGTCAAAACTAGTTACCTGTAAAAATGAAATAAATCTTCCCATTTGAATTTGGCAATCACCTTCCACCATGCTGGAATCTGTAGCTTTAAAGGGCAACATAAAGAGTCATATTTCAATTTTTTAGTTTAAACTTAGTCAAGACCCAAAAAGAAAAATAAATACAACTTTTATTAGTATATCTTCTAAACTGCATACTATTGAAAACAGAATGTTTATACTGAAAAGAAAAATGAGACAATCATTAATGATTCAGTTAAAACAATCATCTGTTTCACTATTTAGTGAATTCAAGGAAAATCCTTATCTAGCCACGGTGCTTTGTAAGTTATAAAAATATCACAAATAGATTTTAGAGAATTTGCTGCTGCTTCATCACTCAGGCTTTTTCCATCTGCTTATGAAAACAAATAAACCAACAAAAAATCTGAATATTTTTCTCACATTAATACATCATATAATCATGGTAGTCCTAGAATTGTCAACTTTTTGTTCATTTCAATGTCAAAAAGGCATTATGGCATTACGATGTAAAATTTTAAAACTTACCTCCTTCTCCATAAAACAAGAGACCATTATAAAATTTAGTTTCAGCCTGTTTAAAAAAAAATAATTTTAAAGGTTGCTATTTTGTTTTTAAATTCCTAGGCTCTCTTAGTTATCCATATTTAATAATAATCAGAGGACTACATCACATACAAATTCACTTAAATTCAAAAACTGCTTACAAAACAGGTAAATTCAATTTATCTTTAGACTACCAAAGATATCATTAATACTCAGTTATCTCTTAATTTCTTTACCCTTGCCTTTGTCTTTTCTAACCATTCTAATTGTCCCACATCCTCCCACTAGTTCATGAGAAGAGAAAGCAACCGCATGGTATCAAAAGGGTACAGAAAAAAAGAAGAAGTTTACCAATTCTACCAGAGTTTTAATGACCCATGGGTAAGGTAATACAAAGCATATTAAAAATCCAAAGCTTTTTTTTTTTTTTTTAAATCAGTTATATCTTGGGATGCCTGGCTGGATCAGTCAGTAGAGCATGCAACTCTTAATCCAGGGTGGTGACTTCAAGCCCCATGCTGGGCATGGAGCTCACTTTAAAAAAAAAAAAAAAGGCTAAAAAGTCAATTACATCTAGAAAGCTAGTATATGTGGCAGATAACACAGACTCTGAAGGTATGCAGACCCAGACTCAAACAGTTACCACTAGTAAAATGTTAGGCAAGTGACATCCTCTTTAAGCTCATCTGTTTCCTCATCTATTCCTCATACTATCTGCCTTTCATTCTACGTATGAACAGGATTCCTATGGTGTCTGGTACACAGAAAGCACACTCAGTGAATGGTAATCACTATTAGTATTACTTTAAATAAACAATTCAACATGCAATAAATCTGTATATACACTGTATATGTAAGCACATATTTGCTTTTATATCATGTTTTTAACATCTTAAGAGTACAAATAATTACCTCATACTTTAATTTCTTGATTTCACAACAAAGTGCAGCATAAACAGTAATGACTTTGTTCAAGACCTAGTTTCATGTGTAAAAACATAAAAAATATAAGTTATAGCAGATAACTAAAGCATTTCAAAAAAATAAGATTTTTAGGTTTAGAAATCTGTACCTTGTTTTCAGTCTTTATGAGTTCCAAAAGGGAAGACTGTTCATAAGGCAAAAGCTATAGTAACAGAGGGAAAGAACATTTCTTTTTAATTTGAAAAAAATAACTGAAATTTTGAATACACAAATTGAGTCTAGCCCTATCTATTCTATTCAAACTTGCGTTGAACCCTGTACTTAGCACTAACACCACACTAGATCAGGAGTGACTGCTAAGGGACATAGGATTTCTTTTGAGGGTGTTGAAAATGCTCTAAAATTGAGTCTAGTGATACCTGCATGATTCTGTGAATACACTAAAAAAACAAAGAATTATACGATATGTGAATTCCAAAAATTGTGAGATGTGTGAATTTCAAGAAAACTGTTACTGAAAAAGTCAATATGTAACTGAGGGCAGTGTCTAGTACATAATAAATGCTCAGTAAATGTTAATTATTAAGTGGTAACCGATTACAGTTTCAAAGATAAAACAAGACAGAATGATCTGAAAATGGAACAGAGCAGGAATGCCTTATTTTGTGCATTAAGAAATTACTCCCAAATTAAATTCTACTAAAACTAGTATTACACTATATGTTAACTAACTGGAATTTACATAAAAAATTTAAAAAATAAACCAAAAATGCCAGTACTCCCACATTAAGATCCTCTAAATAGCATAAGGGGAAATGATGAAAATCTTCTATATTTTCATTAGAAGATGAGTTACATGGATATGGATGTTTGACAAAATTCACCGAACAGTATATTGTAAATCTATGTATTTCACTGCACATAAAATAATCTCAATAAGGAAAAAATAAAGCTTGAATATTTTATTCCAACCCTCTTCATTTTCTTGGTGAAAAACAAAGGCTACCTCAAAGAGGTTTGTGTCATTCATTTAAAAAAAAAAAAAAAAACCAACTGCATGGCTTAGAGATGAATAAATTAACAATTTTTCCTCCAAGTTTCAGTTCTCTAGATTCCAAATAATAAAAACATACAGTTGAACTCTGAACAACACAGGTTTGAATTGTGTGAGTCCACTTACATGTGGATTCATTTTTTTATAAACACAGTACAGTACTGTCAATGTATTTTTCGTCATGATTTTCTTAATAACATTTTCTTTTCTCCAGCTTATTGTAAGAATACATAATTTGTGTCAAAATATGTGTCAGACAAAATATGTGTCAATGAACTGTTTATGTTATTGGTAAGGCTTCTGGTCAACAGGAGGTGAAGTTTGGTGAGTCAAAAGTTATATGCAGATTTTCAATGACATGGGAAGTCAGTGCCCTTAACCCCCACATCGTTCAAGGGCCAACTGTATATTCCATTTTTTAAAACTAAGTTTTCAAGATATAGTATGTCCTGAAAATACACACATAAATTAAAAATAAAACAAAATCAAACCTTTAATGCTATTGGATCAAGATTGAAATCCCAAACATCACCAATTGAATCATCCAATGCATCCTCAATTCTTCTCAGTTGAGATGTATACTCCTCAAGAAATTTCCCGTAATTCTTAAGCTGGACTTCAGCATGAATTTCTAAATTTAAATTTTAAAATAGTATGTAAGAAGTACAAGTAATGAATTACAGGACATTTACTTCAAATAATCTCAAAAGTCACAGCAAAGTACTTACTAAGCATTTTTAAACGTATTACTTTGGAATGTCTGGACGTCTTGAAAATAAAGTTTCAAAATTAAACAATAATTCAGCTTTTCATCTTTTCCAAATAGTAATTTTAAAAGCTGTGCATGTTATACAGTAATACCACATTTAAACTACAACTTTAAAGTACTATGAAAAATTTATTGTCCTATTTACCCCATAAATAATGTGAATAATGCCTTCAATAGCTCAACATCTTGATCCTATGTTTTAGTCATAAATAACTTTTTTGCAAAAAAAATAAATAAAGACCTGTATCAGGCGCAAAAATCTCTGTTGTCATAGAAGCAAAATTTAAAAAGGTAATTTTTAATTCTCTATACTGTAAACTACTGTCTAAAAATACATCCAGGGGTGCCTAGGTGGCTCAGTCGGTTAAGCATTCAACTTCGGCTCAGGTCACAATCTCACAGTTCATGTGCTCGAGCCCCACAAGGGGCTCTGTGCTGACAGCTCGGAGCCTGAAGCCTGCTTCAGATTCTGTCTTCATCTCTCCGCCCCTTCCCCGCTCACACTCTGTCTCTCTCAAAAATAAACATGAAAAAAAATTTTTTAAATACATCTAAATATTGTTTTTAAAAACGGTTTTAGACCTGCTCTATCATGTTATTTCTGTCACGCCCAAAATTCACCAAGATATTTTAATGACTTCACTATCATAATAGAGTTGGAAAAGCCAAATGAAGAACACTGAGTATAGAATATAGTGGTAATATTTACATAATTTACACAATAGGTGACTCTAAGGGGTCAGTGGAATAAACTGGACAATAAAAGTATGTCTAATCATCAAAATTAATACTAAAAGGAGATATTCTATCTTATACATAAGAATTACTTATTCCAAAGACAGCAAATCCAATTGTTTCTTTTATTGATGTGAATAACTATTCAATCGTTGTCTTCTAAAAAAAAACTAAAATTTTTCTCTCAAATTAGCAATGCAAAGTAACTCTAAGATAAATTATGTTCTAAGGATAAAGACCTAGCTCCCCAATCTCCCTTATTTTGCAACTAATGCTCAGAGCCTGAGATCTAGATCAGGTGGATCAGTTCCATTCACTGAGGTTCCTATCTCACTGCAGGAGTAACCTAGGCAATTTTAGAAGACAATCTAGATATGACTCATAAATTTAAAAACTGTGAGAGATTCTTGAAATCCCAAATACACGCCTAATTCTCAATTACATGCATTTAACCAGCAAATGAGTTCTTCATGACAATGCCAGAAAAGCATGGTGGCAGTTAGTCTGGGAATTCACAAAGCAATGGGCAACGGATAACCTGCAATAACATTAAAGTTCCTTGCTGATAAAATAATCAATAGTTGTAAAATTAGTACAAAGTTATGATAAAAAGATTTGAAGAAATCCAGGGCGATTCCTCAAGAGTCAAATCCAAAAATGTATTTACATGCTCATCTCAACATTCTTCGTGTAATCTTGTAGCCCTAATACTTTATACAGTTCCTAGGATGCAGAAAATGTCTGTTGACTGAATCCGATCATCCTACTCTCAGTTGAACCATTTTCAAACCTAGCAATATATTTTCATTACAGTTTTTTGAAGATACTAGAGTAAGGGACCTCTGTCCATAAAACCTCATACATGACAAGGCGCAGTTCACTTTATAACAGTAAATACAAAATCCTCGCCACAAAAAAAGTTGAAGAACGTCATTACCACCACGACTTTTTTCTATGCTGCATAAGAACTACTAACTTATGGAATGTTTTATGAAAAACTGCAAACCATTTATGAATTGAGCTCATGCTTCTTACTTAATTACATGTAAGTTGGTACACATGATTTTTTTCTTTGTAAAGTTAGGCAGGGTTCACGTGTAATTTTTAAAAATTACATTCACCTTTTGGGAAAACTGCATTAAGAAACAAATTCACAAGCGGGAGGTCTCAATCTCTCATATCACTTAAACAGATTAACAGCACTACAGACAAGAAGCATTACCAATTTGAATTAATCTTAAGTAGAGTTTCACTAAAATAATTATTTGGCCTCTACCTTTGGTTTTGGGGGTTGGACTTTCAAGTTAAAAACGAAACGACTCGATTTTATGAAGTACAAGTTGCTTAATTTTTGCAGCCTTTCTAGGTGCAACGGAAGCTACAGAACATCTCTGAAAAACGCTACTTGTAAATAAAAGGCACGGAAGGAGGTAAACCGGCACTCGCTCGTTTATTTTTTCCGCGTGAAGAGTGCTTTTCCGCTGTCTTCTACGCTGTAAGAACATGCAGAAAAAATCCTCAAACTTCCAAAAGTTGATTGGAAGAAAAGTAGAAAAACAGGAAAGCGAAAACAGGAACCCGGACCTCACTCAGCCCGTTCTAGAACTGCACACTCCGCACATGTGGCGAAAGCCCCGAGAGGCCAGAGGCAGGGCCAGCCTCAGCTCCCCGGGCTGCTGGGCCTCCCTGGACGCACCCCGCCCGGCCCTGGGTAGCGGAGAGGGGACGCCGCTGCCCCGGGCACCACGGGCTCCTCGGGAGAGCCACCGCCCCGGACGCTGAGCCCTGACCCGGCCGGCCTGACCCACCGCCGCTGGAGCCCCAACCCCGAAAGTAACGCCCGAGGGCGCGTCCCTCTCACACTTCAAGGGGCAGCAAGTGTCCCGAACTGGACGGCTGCGCGGCGACCACGACGCAGAGCCCTCCCGCAGGAGCGCCGCCGGTGGGGGGCTGAGGCGGGCCGGCGAGCATCCACCCGCAGCCCTTGCCCTGCCGCTCCCTTACTCTGTGAGCCGTCGTCAACGCGGTCGAACTCCCAGTCTGGGGACAGAGTCTCCACCGCCATCACCCCGGCGCCTCCCACAGTCACAGCCCCAACCAGACTGGGCGACCGAGGCAGCCTCACCCGGGCGGCTGTCGAGGCACGTGACTTCCGGCCCCGGCCCCGCCCCCGCTCGCGAGGGCAGGCCCGGCTCAAGGCCCTATGGGCCGCGGGGGTTGCTGGGAAAGCGAGTCGTCCGCGGCGGCCGGAGGCGGCAGCTACGGCGGGGGTGCTCGAGGTGTCCTGCAGTCGGGACTTGGTCCTCACCGCCGTTCGCTTCACATCTGAAGACACATCGGTGCCTTTGGCTTCTCCCTGGTGTCTCCAGGTCATTTTTAATACCTGGGGAGTTGCTCCATCAGTCTAGCCTAAGAAGGGCAAAATTGACGCACTAGTGGCTTAACAGGAGGGCGTGGTCCTCGAGGACGTCGCTATCCAGGTGCTTCTCACAAGAAGCACAAATTGCCAATGCCCTCCCTGTCCACCCCCACCCCCTCCATCAGAGTTCTTGCCGCTGTCCTCTTCCAAGTCCTGTGCTGATTGATCTTGAGAAGAAAAAACGGTGTGTGAGAGGAGTTACTTCGCGAACACCCCAGCGAGGCATTTTACTACTCTGCTTACCTTGCGCTAACCTATCCCGCGTCCCCTCTTCTTAAAAAGGCCGGGGGGGGGGGGGGGGGGCGGCGGAGAAGAAGCACTATTTAAATGTGTTCCAAAATGCTGACTAACTGGGCTTTTCCGCAAATAGAGATCTGTGTTACGCTGTAATTCTACAGGTATACAGATATTTACACAGCAGTGTTCATTGCTGCATGGTTTTTAATACATATTAACAGGAAATGATCTTAATGCCCATCAATAGAGGATAATTACATAAAGTTTAATATATACATATTACGAAATACTAGATATCTGTTTTTAAAACTGAAATACATTTTTTTAATGTTTATTTATTTTTGAGACAGAGAGAGACA